GCACTGACTTGGGGTGGGGAGAAGGGAACAGAAAAAAATAGCTGCCACTGCAGGCACACAATGTGCCGGTGGCATGGCAGGAGCCAGAAGTCACCACTGCCCCTGTGTCATAGCCAGGGCTGGATTAACCCTTTAGTGGGCCCTAGGCATACAAACTCATGGGCCCCTACTTTTTTACTCACTCAATAATTAAAATATGCCAAATAAGCACAACTGGGCCCCTTCTTCACTTAGGACCCTAGGCATGTGCCTAGTTTGCCTATGCATTAATCTGCCCTTGGTCATAGCTGTACCACCTTTTTCCTGCATTGTTGCACCTGTGGGCTGTTGTCTATGAAAGCTCAGGTTTCTTTGAACCAGTTAGTCTCTAAGGTGTACCCACCCTACCTTCTGTCTGGCTTCAGACTGACATGACTGACCACCTCCTTTCATGTGGGAAGGAGACTGACCTCCCAGAATCAGGGTTCACTTTTTCCCTGTTTGCCTAAGAGCCCATGTCCGAGACCAGCAGTCACGTCTCTTGGTGAGAACTGAATGCTGGTCTTGCCTGGTGCTGTATTATGCACAACTAACAAATGATATGGGCTTGAACTTTGAATTGGTTGTGATCTGTAAGTACTTACACAAGGAGAATATATTTGACATTATAGGGCTCCATGCGCTAGCAAATTGAGGAATAATAAGAGCTAAGGCTGGAAGCTGAAATTCAAAACCATCAAATTGGAAAGAAGATGCAGCTTAAACACTGAGGGTATTTAACCACTGGAACAGAATACCAAGAAAAGTGGCAAACTCCCTGTCACTTGGAATTTCTAAATGGAGACTGGATGGCTTTCAAACAAGTGAACTCCACTTCAACAACCAGTTATTGGATTTGATAATGTTCAGTTATGTAAAATGGAAAAAGGGTGCCCTGTGTTGCAGGAATTGCCTGTTGAAGTTCTATGGGCTATGAAGCAGTCTAATCCATTTTTAATGTGTGTCCGCTTCTCACACCTGCACATGCGTGCACGCGTACACACACACGCATCCGGCGCGAGATGAACAAACTCCATTGTTTTACACCGCATGAGGAAATGGCCCACAATTTGTATTTGCACTGGTGATGTTTCCCTAGCAGCAAACCCAAATAGAAATTTTCTCTTCTCTTTTTTTGTATTCTCCTCTCTTTAGTTAGACTGGTTGACGCATAGGAACAGACATAATGTTCTTTGAAAGAAAAAAACCCTGTAATTAACGGAGGATTTTTTTGGCAGGAATAACATTGTGGCTTCTTTCTCCTCTTCATTTTTTTTTTTTAACTTTTTCATTTAACATATTTTATCAGAATGAAATGCTTTAACGAGCAAAGAATTACGGCTGATCCCAGCTCAACCAGATAGGGCTGCATTTCGAGCTATGTGGCTCCCATCAAGCTGCATTCACCTTTGCTATGATTTAAACTTCATTCAGGCACAGCCTTGCTAAAAATACTGACAAGTAACTAATCAACTTCCATAAAATGGAATTTTTCCCTTCACAATAGAAAGCAGGAGTAGGAGGGAACCCAAAAGATTTGCCTATGCATTTCAAATTAGTCTGACCTATAAAAACGCAAACAGCAAGTAGTGGGATAAAAATGTATTTCTAGTGATTTTTCTTTTTTGGTAGATGTTCAGGTTTTCATGCCGTTCCATACTTCATCCTGGATATACAGGAACCATTCACAGATCTCATAATGTATGGACTTCTTTTCATTACCTACACCAGCACCTACAATGTAAGCTCTTCAGCGCTCTCTGGACCAAAGGAAAGTTCAGAGTCTAGGAACTATCGTTAGCTTGGAAAGCTTTACAAAACCTATGAGAGAAAAATCCTGTGACACTGCCTCGTTTCACACAAATGGGTTCAAGGCCTCACCTTTACATGTGCTATTTTTGCTCTAGTGTGTGAAACAGATAGAAGAAAAAAAAATCCAACTCCTAATGAGCATTTGAAAATCAGATCATAACTTTTCACCTGTGATCTGGTCATGCATGCTCTGGTCTTCCTGACCTATATGTATTAGCAAAATGCCCCAGGGCAATCTGCAGTTTATGGAGGCTGAAATAAGTGCACGGTTCTGGTCCTTAAAAACCCAGATTCATCTTATTCTGCCTAGTTTAAGAACAAAGTCTAGTTAGTGAACTTATAACTTGTGCCAGAGCTCACCCAAACCCCACTGACGGGCACTATCAAATGGGCCAGTGCACCTAGCGAAAAACAAAAATTGCAAAGATGAACCAAAAACAGCAGGCCTTCTTGTTTAATGCTGCTAATGTATGGCTTCCCCCTCCACGTCCTGGGCTTTATGAGAAAAAAGAAGCCCATCAGATTTTAAACCGTGGCTAAATTTTATACTCGCTATACAAGAGATCCTGAAAACATATTGGGGGCTACTTCTGTGATTTGGTAGGAGTTCCTTTCTGTTGGCATTGCCTAGCTGGTCTCTTCAAGGTTGGTGGTAGTTTAAGGAATGGCTGTCCAGCTTCAAAGCAGCCAGGGGCCACACTAGGGAGGACCGCATGCTGTGCAGGCTGTGCTAGGGTGAGCCATGAGTTCCCAAGCTCCCAACACTGCACTGCATGCCTGCGTGGCCCCAGACTCATCATCCTTTCCCTGTGCTGCATGGTCCTGCCCCCTGGAACAGCTGGAGGAGGATGAGGGAGCTCTGAGACCCTGGTTGCTGATATAGCTGGAGAGAAGCAACAGCTGAGCAGGAGCCTGGGGGCCACAACTCAACCCATTGTAGGCCCCATGCACCCTGCGGGGTGCTAGCTGGGACAGCCCTGTTTTAAGGTATGAAGATTTACTCCTCTGTATATAAAAGGAAACAAGCGCTACATTCACCATCATGGAAGTATTCACTTTCTGGATGTCTCCAGTCTCCTCTCCAAACCATGAGGACAAGTGTTTCAGTGATGTTAGCTGCTGTAAAGTGGGACGTCAGCAGTAATCGTGTTAATATCTGCCGAAGTTTAATAAGAAGGGGTCAAGTCATCCAGTCATTGCTCAAGCAAAACTCGCACAGAAGTCAATGTAAAGCATTTCACTTGGCAATTAGCCTGCTCATTCTGTAACACTTATTTCCAGGACTTCAGGAAAGAACCCAAATGATCCCTTTGGTTCAATTAATTGTTTCAGTTACCGAGTCATTCTCCTCTTAACACATTTGAGTGACTCAACTAAAGATCAATATGGCACAGCATTAAAGGACCAGACTGTTCTGCAATTGTATAGCACTGTGCTTTCCCCACTTATGTACCTCAGCAGTGGACAGGCACAATTTGGTCTTTAATCCCTTAATTCTGCATTGCATGTCATGGACCCAGTTTTCAGAAACTGAAGCCTGACATCTAATTCACATGTTCACTGAATACCATTACACATGCATGCTGCTAAACATATGATTCCCTAGTATTTTTCATATCACAGGAACTCCAAATGCAATAGAAACTCCTCTTTAAAAAATACAACAACTAGGCACCACGTTAAGTGAGTTCTAATAGTATTTTATCCCACATCATCTCTGCACCATCTCCCACAACGTTGTTCCAACAACCCAACTTGACCCAACACATTCTGCGTCGAAGAGGTCCTCTCCATTTCAGATACTGCATGAGTTGTTATCAAGTTTCCACATGCTTTTGTGGCATTTAGCAAATTACTCTTTCCTTCCAGGTATTACATGTGCAGCAAAGTATGAGTTAATCAGTGTGGAACATGTAATGATGGCAATTCATTTTAATCTAGGAAAGGCCTCAGTAAGCATTGTTTCAGGAAGAGCAGGGTGACTTTCTTGACAAGGGAGGCAAATCACGCACCATCACTTTTTCCAAATTCTGAAATTTTGCAATTACGTCTCAATTGTCTTCAAAAGGAAGAATTAAATCCTATCAGTGAGTCTTCTTTCTTTTTTTATACAGGTGGCTTTCTTCTTACCACTCCATAAACAAAAATCATAGCACTAAATACATCTCAATAGGTTTCTATTTTGCTACATTTATCTATGGTAATCTAATCAATACAATGCATCAATCATGTAGTCCCTTCTTTTTTGTCATTCAAATGTCATGACTGTATACCATCAGGCTAAAGCTGATGTTTCAAATCATCTTAGCAATAAGTGTAGTGGGGGGTGGAGGGGCATGTTAATGAAGGATTCATTTTATTTAGATTTCCATGTTGATGCCCTACTCAGGTATCCAAACATGCATCTGCATCCTGAATCCGATCATTGAGGAAGGATGTTAAGGATCATAGGAAAGTAGGGCTGGAAAGGACCTCACAAAGTCATCTGGTCCAGCCTTCTCAAGGCAGGACTATCCCTGACCAAATCATCCCAGCCGAGCGTCTGTCTAACCTGCTTGTGAAAGTTCCCAAGGATGGAGATTCCACAACTTTTCTAGGTAGCCTTTTCCAGCCCAAGCACCCACATAATAAAAAAAGGTCCTCCAAATCTCCAGTCTACATTTCCCTTGCTGCAGCTTGAATCCACTGCTCCTAGTCTTGTCTGCAACAACAGAGAACAGACCATCTCTATCCTTCCTAAATCACCCGGCGGGCATTTGTAGACTGTGACCAGAAGGGTAACGATCACCTGCATCCTGATCACTGAGGAAGAATATTAAGGATGTAGCACCACACCACCCTTTTGGCATCATCATTCCTTGCTATGCATCTACAGTCCCTTTCTGATTGAGAGGGTTGAAAAACCAACATCTTGGCAGCTTAGCCAGTGTCTCTTGAGAGAGTGGCTGAAAGCAGGCGATTAAACTGCTGTTGAGTCAGAGTCTGCGGGGGACGGAAACCTTGGACCATCCACTTCACATGACGATAAGTGTTTTGCCTTCAACACAGCTGGACAGACCCAACTTATTGTGCAGGTGTGGTGACTGTCTGTTAGTTGACCAAACGAATGGCATCATCATCATCACCACCATCATCATCATTATTCTCATTATTTCAGCTGTTTTACTCACCCGAACCAACTGTTGTGGAAAAGGACCTCTCGAGTTTTCCGGTACATTGATTGGTGGAATGACCCAGTCTCTCTTTTGCCGTCTCAGCCCGTTCGAATTTTGGTGCTGGCGCCATGGCAGCAAAGTGTCACTCTGTTGCTGTATAAGGTCAGCAGATGCGTTCTTCTTTCCTTTTTGCTGTTTTTGAGGAACAAGAAAGCCAAAGAGCAATTACAGTCCCTTCCAAATAAATACATTTAGGGAAAAAAAAAGTCACTTTGAGGACTATTCCATAGTGGCGCTTGTCTGCATGGCATGGCTGCGTGGAGTTGTAAAAATTATTATTAGCATGATGTAAACATTTCTGCATAACAAAGGCATAATAAACTATATTGGCATCTCTGCTGCCACTTCATTTCCACAAACGTATGGAGCTGTCATTATTAAATCAAGCTCCCTTCCAGAATGTATTGTCTTCATTATGCCAACTGCAGGAAGCTTTAACAGCACATTGGATAAAGAAGTCTGCAAATTTATCATAAATGCAATCTGTCAGGAATACAAAAGGAAAAAAAACCCAACAAGTTCCTCTACAACATCAGTGGTAGGTTTAGCTCCATTATACCAAGTTCACCTGCTCTCTGGCATTAAGACAGCTCCAGTGACCTTCACTATGTGATTTTATAGATGTGTGTTAGATAGTCCAACAACTCAGGGCTAGAAGATGATCCTGCTCTTGTGTTGAAAGGCTTAATTAGCTCAAACTCTCAAGCTCCATGTGAATTGTCTTTTTTTCTTTTTAAAGATGGGGTTTTAAACTGCATAAATATATATGTCCTCAGTTATGTGAAAAGCGAAATGGTCTACTGTATCTCAGCTTGCAAATGGCTTTCTTTTTTAACCATGTGGTGATCTTCCAGACTTGGGCTTCAGTTTTATGTTGCAAAGACAAAAGATATTGGAGATAAAGTTTGCAGCAATTTGCATTTGGCCAGTTCAAGAAAAAGATTGCGCCCATGGCAAATATTGGTCCTACTCACAAGAAAATGGCTGTTGCCACTGGTAGAAATGCTAGAATCCTGGCTTTGGAGTTGCAGATGTGAACATTTCAGAAGGCCAAATCAGAGAAATATAGCACAGCGAACAATCTCAAGAGGTTAGCAAGCCAGTTCCCCCAATCTGAGATGGGTTAAATGCAAAAATTGGTGAAGACAAATTTTTCCAAAACTTAAACATTTTCTGCACTTCTCAAAGGCAACAAATACATGGTGGGACTGGGAAGGCGTCATGGCCAGGACAGTGTGCCAGACAGAGGAAAAAACCACAAAGCTTTGTCATATTTCTCCATACCCTGCATTGACACAGCATCCCTACTTGACTGGCCAACACTGGTATACGCTTCCTAAAGTACTTGCTTAGCTAGGGATGAACATGGGAACACCATCATAATGTAGCCGTGAGAGGCACTTCTGGTATTGTACTAGGATCAGCGTAGGTGCTGTTGAAGACAGCTTTGGCAAACCCTGGGTAGGGCATAGTATTTCTAATAGGCCTCACCGCAATGGCTTCCCCTTTAACTCATTGCAAACTTTTTTTCCTTTAACACAACAAAAAACCAGTCGTACCAAAGGCGACACCAGAAATGGTTGTTTCAGAGTAGGCTTATGGCACTTACTATGAGAAAGTTTTATACCCCTTTTGCTTTGTTTTACAGTTGGCTTTTGGTCCCTCCTGGGCTTCCTCCGAGAACAGGTATTTGGATCAGTTTATGTAATTAGCATGTGAACATGGGGACAGATTAGGAACGGATGGTCAAATAATTTGTGCTCGGTTGAGTTTACACAGTGGAATGAATCTGAACTAAGGACAGACTTGAGAATTAAAACAAATCCCAAAGCTCCATGTATACTGAAATAATTAGTGTCAGCTCAGCAAGGCAGTACCAGCCTTTTTAGTTTTTATGAAATATTTGCTGGCAGGTGACTAGACAGTGCCTAGCTTGCTTGTCACTCCCGATGATGTTTTCCTACATTAGAATAAATCGTTGACATGACTCTGAATTTGGGATGTGGAATTTCAAAAGCACCTTGCAACAACAATCTTTTTTTATTTATTTTTTTAAAAAAACCCAACTTTTTCATCTTCATTTGTTGCTGATATGTTCTCAGAGCCTTAATTTCTCTTGTGTTGTTTAAATAAGTTGTACATGTTTTTCTGCTGTTTAAAAGCTGCGAGACAAATGTAGTAACAAAGTCTGGTGAGAACGAATGCCAGACCTATTCAGTCTTCTGACTGAAATATCCAAGAACATCCCTGGAATAGCAGCAACAATTAACTATAATCCCCAACAAAATACTATGTTCTTTTGAACATGCAAGGATCTAGAGCCCAAATTAAAATTCAGAATGTAAATATGGAAGCTTAATTAAACTAATTGCTAATATGGCTTCCAATTTTATTTTTGCTGTGAAGCAATTTTCACGTTGCAAAACAACTGTTCATTCCCACTTGAACCCACTGGCTCTGTGCTTTTTAGAGTCTCTCAAGGCAGTGGAATAAGACAGATACATTTTCGGTCCACAGAAAATAAAATGGTTCTCTATTTTTCTCTGTTTCACCTGAATGCTAATTATCTATCTGGATACTTTTACAGTTTCATTCTTCAAATAGTGGAGCACAAGCTCTGGTGCCTCGCACCATCTCACAACACACCTGCAAGGTAACAGATCCTCCATTTTATTCATGCACCGTTAGAAAGATTTCCCCAAGGTAACAGAGAGTTTGCTGCCGTGCAGGGTCTTGAATGCCAGTCTTCCACAACCCACACTAGTAACCTGAAAAATGGACCACTCTTCCTTCTACTTCCTAATGCAGGCAGTCCTCGACTTAAAACGTTTTGAGTTGCAATGAACAGCACTTACTAATTGACACCGTTTCGACTTCATGACGCTTGATCCGACATTACGCCACGCCAGTGAACAAGTTCGCTGCATCACCCATCTCCCTGGAGAACGTCTGTCCAAACGTCCTTGGACACTTTCTTTAAGAAAGCAGACAAGGCTCCAGAAAAACCTGCAGCCAAGATGCCTGAGGAGACTCCAGGCAAAAGCCCTTCAAACAGTCCAACCAAGAGCCCTTCAAAAAGTCCAGCAGAGCCACCTCAAAGAAGTCCTTCCAAAGCAATATGATTGCTATTTACAATATACATGCATTAATGAAGCTATATTACCCTTCTATAGAGTCACAGAATCACAGAAGTCGGGTCGGAAGCGACCTTGTAGATCTTCAA